CTATAAGAAGCTGGAAAATTTATCTTGTCATTTTCTTTGGCTTCCTGAACTTTCTAACAAATCAGTAAATGTTCTATAAAGCCAAACGATTTCGCATTTGGGCTTGAGTTTGGGTTTCCTCTAGTGTCCAATTTATCAATCAGCCCCAAATGGCTGACAAAAGGTTGGTATCTGTTTCCTCAGTCTCATGGCTTGAAATGCAACATATAGCTCCCAAATCTGTACCTCTAGCCCAGGCCTCTCTCCTAAATCCATGCTCATTTAGACATCTTCACTCGAATATCTACCAGACCTCTCAAACTGAAATATGAAGCCTTGATCTTCCTTCCTAAAATAGCTCCACCAAAAGCTTTCCCAGGTGATGGTAATTTTATCCTTCTACCTTTGGCTCTTCAGGTATAAATCCCTACAGTCACTTTTTACTTCTTTTATTCTCAAATACACTATTTCCCACCTTTCAAGAAATGATATTGAATGTACTTTCAGAATCCAACCACTTCTCATCATCCCCACTACCACCACTCTGGTCTCATCTCTCACCTGGATTAATGCAAAAGCCTCCAAACAGTCTCTTTCCACCCTAATCCTTAAATACAGTGGCAAGAGTAATCCTTTAAAACAGGGGTCAGCAAATTTTTCCTGTAGAAGCCAGAGAATAGATATTTAGGCTTTGTAGGTTGTCAATGGGCAAAATCAAGATTACTGCACAGGTACTTAATACAACAAGAGAAAACAATTTTCTAAAATGTTTTTAATAATTGAGTACAGTTTTTTTTCAATAATGGAATTAAAAATAAATGGATACCATTTTGTTTAATTGGAGTTCAAAAACAATGTTCCCTATCACAAACTGATAGCAAATATTTATTGGTAAAAATTGTTCTTAATTGATGGACACACAAAAACAGGTTGTGGAATGGATTTACTACCCTGCATGCTGTAGTTTGCCAACTCCTTCTTTGAAATTTAATCATCTCGGGCCTCCCTGGTGGTGCAAGGGGTTAAGACACAGCACTATAAAGCTAGCCGCAGCCACTACAGCATGAGTTTGAACCCCGGCCAATGAAGTGACCCACATGGCGCAGCAGACCTCTCCTGTCTCGCCCACTGCTCCCCCCAGCAGTGTATTTTAGCAGATCTGCCTGTTCTGTTCCCCATTATGTCTCTAGTAAATCCTCTCACCCCCCTCATCTCTGGCCTGTACCCCAGCTCTTGTATGCATAAATAAATAAATCTTTAGGGCTTTCCTCGTGGAGCAAGGGATTAAGGACAGCTCTATGGGGCCTCCCTGGTGGCGCAGCGGTTGAGCGCTGGGTTGCGAAGCTGCCTGCAGCCTCTGCAGCGCCGGTTCGATCCCCGGCTGCTCCCCGGCCATCGGAGGAGGGTCCCACATGGCGCGCAGACCTCTCCTGCCGCCCGCTGCTCCCCTCAGCAGTGTACTTCGGTCCTTCTGCCTGCTCTGCTCCCCGCTCTGGCTCTGGTGGATTCTCTCACCTCCCGCGCTTCTGACTGTACCCAGTGCTTGCATAAATAAATAAATAAATCTTATAAAAAAAGGACAGCTCTATGAAGCAGTCCACAGCCTCTGCAGCACAAGTTTGATCCCCGGCCAGCCAGGGAGATACCCACATGGCACAGCGGACCTCTCCTGTCTTGCCTGCCGCTCCCCTCAGCAGTGTTTTCAGTCAATCTGCCTGTTCTGTTCCCTGCTCTGTCTCTGGTGAATCCTCTCACCTCCCACACCTCTGGCCTGTACCTCAGTTCTTCTTCTTCTTTTTTTTTTTATAGAGGCATGTTTATTTATTTATTTGTTTGTTTGTTTGTTTTGTTTATACATGCACTGGGTACAGTCAGAAGCACGGGAGGGTGAGAGAATTCACCAGAGCCAGAGCAGGGAGCAGAGCAGGCAGAAGGACCGAAGTACACTGCTGAGGGGAGCAGCGGGCAGCAGGAGAGGTCTGCGCGCCATGTGGGACCCTCCTCTGGTGGCCTGGGAGCAGCCGGGGATAGAACCTGCGCCGCAGAGGCCGCGGGCAGCTTCGCAACCCAGCGCTCAACCGCTGCACCACCGGGGAGGCCCTGTACCTCAGTTCTTATATGCATAAATAAATAAATCCTAAAAAAAAAAAACTTAAAAAAAATCATCTCATAACATTCTCAAAACCCTGTGAATTAATTTTCCATTGTTGTATAACAATAACCACACATTCACCTGCCTAAAAGTAACACCTATTTATTATCCTCACATTTCTGTCCATCAGAAGTCATGGTAGGTTTGTCTGAGTTCTCTGCTTAGGGTCTCAAAAGGATGAAATCAAGGTGTCTTCTTATATGGAGCATATGGGAAACAATTTGCTTCCAGGCTCACTTAGGTTGCATGCGACTATAGGTCTGAGGTCTCTATTTCTTTGGTGGCTGGCAGTCAGGAACTATTCTCAGCTTCTAGAAGCTGCCTGCATTTCTTATGTGGGTCCCTCCATCTTAGAAGCCATGAAAGTTGCTTTCAAATCTCAAGCTTTGACTCTTTCTGACTTTCCTTCCTGCTTGCTACTGGGTGGAAATAACTCTGCTTATAAAGGCAATTTCTTTCTTTCTTTTTTTTTTTTTTTTTGTGGGACCCTCGACGGTGGCAGGGGAACGAACTGGTGCTGCAGAGGCTGTGGGCAGCCTCACAGCCCAGTGCTCAACCGCTGTACCACCAGGGGAGGCCCTCCTTTTTTTTTTTTTTTTTTTTAAAGATTTATCTATCTATACAAGCACTGAGCACAGTCAGAAGCACGGGAGGGCGAGAGAACTCACCAGAGCCAGAGTGGGGAACAGAACAGGCAGACCGACGAAATACACTGCTGAGGGGAGCAGTGGGCGCAGCAGGAGAGGTCTGCGCGCCATGTGGGACCCTCGCCAGCAGCTGGGGATCGAACTAGCACTGCAGAGGCTGTGGGCAGCCTCGCAGCCCAGCGGTAAACTGCCATGCCACCAGGGGAGGCCCTAACTCTGCTTATAAAGGTCTCATTTGATTGGATTAGACCCAACCAGAATATTGTACCTTAAGGTCAACTGACTTTGGGATATCCATTACATCTGCAAAAACCCTTCAGAGCAGTACCTAAGTTAATGTTAAATTGAATAATTAGGGGACAAGAGTATGGTGGGGTCATATTTAGAATTCTGCTACCACACCCTGTAGTAACTTCATACTCAGACTAAGAAGGGCCAATATTTGTACCATTTTCCCTTTCCTATTTTTTTCTCTTTTCTACTGTACTTCTCACCTTTAACATATAATATACATTGGGTCTTCCTGGTGGCACAAGGAGTTGGCTGTCAGCACTATGAAGCAATCTGCAGCTACTGCAAAGATGAGTTCGATCCCCGGCCAGAGTGGTAGCCCACATGGCGCACTGAACCTTTCCTTTCTCGTGTGCTGCTCCCCTTAGCAGTGTGCTTCAGTCAGTCTGCCTGTTCTGCTCCCCACTCTGTCTCCGGTGAATCCTCTCACCCCCCGCACCTCTAGACCGTACCCCAGTTCTTGAATGCATAAATAAATAAATCTTTAAAGAATATATACATTACTTATTTTTGATGTATATTGTTTGTTCTTTCTTGCTAGAATTAAAGTTCTCAAATGTAAGGATCTTTTTTGTTCAGTGATGTATTTTTTTTTAAAGATTTATTTATTTATGCATACAAGAGCTAGGGTACAGGCCAGAGGTGCGGGGGATGAGAGGATTCACCAGAGACAGAGAGGGAGCAGAACAGGCAGACTGAAATACACTGCTGAGGGGAGCAACGGGCAAGTCAGGAGAGGTCTGTTGTACCATGTGGGTAGCTCCCTGGCCGGGGAGCGAACTCATGTTGCAACAGCTGCAGACTGCTTCATGGGTTGCATCTTAACCTCTTGCACCACCAGGGAGGCCCAGTGATGTATTTTTTGTTCACTATACACCTAGGACAGTGACTGACACAAAATAGGTGATCAATAAAAATTTTCTGAATGAAATCTTGGGAAACTCTTGTTTCAGTTTTCTTTTTTTAAAAAACATATTTATTTTGCATAGAAGAACTGGAGTGTAGGCCAGAGGTGTGTGTGGGGGGGGTGTAAGAGGATTCACCAGAGACAAAGTGGGGAGCAGAACATGTGATTTACTGAAGTACACTGCCAAGGGGAGCAATGGGCAAGACAGGAGAGGTCTGCTGTACCATATGTGGCTCAGCTCCCTGGCCAGGATTGAACTCAGGCCGGAGCAGTGATAGGATGACAGAGCTAAGACTTAAACTCTATGCCCCCGGGGAGGTCTTTGTTTCAGGTTTTTATTTATTTATGTATATACTAGGTTATGATATAAAAAATATATTATCCTGGGCCTCCCTGGTGGTGCAGGGGTTAAGACGCAACCTATGAAGCAATCCGCAGCCACTGCAGCACAAGTTCGATTCTCGGCCCGCCAAGGAGAAACCCACACGGTGGGACAGACCTCTCCTGTCTCACCCGCTGCTCCCCTCAGCTGTGTACTTCAGTCTGTCTGCCTGTTCTATTCCCGACGCTGTCTCTGGTAAATCCTCTCACCCTCCCATCATCTCTGGCCTATACCCCAATTCTTGTATAAAAATAAATAAATCTTTAAAAAAAAAATTATCCTGATGAGCGCAAAGTATTTGAAAGCTACAGGGATTAGACTACATGACCTCTAAGATCCTTTTCAAATTTCAACACTTATGTATTTCTATGTGCAGCTAGTGAAACTCCACAATATCCTTTGGGATGTGGCAAGGTTCACAACTTAGACACTTTGGCAAGGCAGTGATTATTTAAACATAAAAGGTAAATAGCAACTCTACCTGTTCTATAGTAAGTTAGAAAAAACTGTGGAAACAGCAAGAACTGATGAATGCCCCAAATATAAAAACCTGAACTTAATCCTTTCACCAAAAGTGATACTATTGAGAGTACATGGCAAAAGAGATCAAAATTCCCCTGGTAAAAGCTTCCACTCACTTACTGAAGAAGTGAAGAGGAGTGAAGAAAGATTTCACTTAAAGTCTCTGCTGTAGAAATGGTGACTTGAATGGACTTTGGGAGCAAAGACCACTTCTGAAGAATGTATGATTTCCACTCATCCACAGGCAGATCCATGCTACTTTAGATCTATAAAATGAGGAAGAAAATAAGGAATTTAGAATTCTACAAATGCATACTTCTCCAGTATTACACAACAAAACTTTTTGGTCTTTTTCTATAGTGGCTTATTTGCTAAGAAAGAATTTATATTCACTCTCACCAGTTCACTCAACATCTTTCATTCCTATTGAAAGCTACTTTGTGCCAGGTACCATGTCAGGTGATGCTTATATAACAATGAATCAATCAGATTAGAGCCACCATCCCTGTTCTCTCAGGCCCTAGTCATTCAAATCAGAAACCTGAGAGACATCCCAGATTTTCCTTTCTCACTCATCCAGGCATCTCTTAAATTAACGAATATTTCTATTTCAAACATACTTTAGTTTTCTTTCAATCCTAAGGTTAATCCTTCAGTTCCAGCCCTGACCACCTTCTGTCGGGCATTCTCTCCAAAGTATACTAATTAGAATCCATGCCTTAACTCCTACCTTCAAAATAAAGATATTTAGCCTAGTTAGAGAAGTCAAGAAAGGTGTCTCTAAGCTGAGATTTGAGGATTTTGTTAACCAGTGAGGGGAGCTAGGCAGAAGAGGAAAAAGAAAGTTCAAAGGCCCTGTGAAAGAGAAGAATCTGGAAAACACCTGGAATTAAAAAAAAAAAAAAAAAAGCTGGACCCGAGGAAAGAACAAGTGGGGTTATGCCATGATGGGACAGATGGGAAGATGGTGTGCTGAGTGCAACGAGGTAATGCAACGAGCTATCCCCAGTTTGCCAGGCTCTTTCAGCTAGGAGCATTCCTACCCTCATTTGGAGGCCACCTGGAAAATTTCCACCCATCCTTTAAGATTTACTTCAAACGGAACCTCCTTCAGGAAGCCTTTCTTGATTTTCCATCTGTGCTTCTTAACTCCTACCCAACCCCAATTCATTCCATCGTCCAGAGACAACTGCCAGAGCTCTGCCTTAAATTCATCACTGTTTCTCTTAGCATTTGGGGAAGCCCAGTACAGATCTTCATTATTTGACCCTCTGTTTACTCGCTTATTCCCAAGTCTCACTTCTTCCTATGCTCTACTGCAACGAGCTATTATCCCCAGTTTGCCAGGCTCTTTCAGCTAGGAGCATTCCTACCCTCATTTGGAGGCCACCTGGAAAATTTCCACCCATCCTTCAAGATTTAGTTCAAACGGAACCTCCTTCAGGAAGCCCTTCTTGATTTTCCATCTGTGCTTCCTACACACGTTATTTCTTCGGGGGCCCTTACCATGCCTAGCTGAAGTTAGAACTACTCAAAAAGAAAACTCCCTCCACAGACAGCATTCTCCTCTGAGGGCAGCGATAGGGTCTTATTACCTTCAGAGGCCTCACTGCGCTAAAGTGAGTCGGGCACCAGCGGAGCTCAGCACTGGGTTGCTGAAGGAATCAAGTCACAGCTTTCACTACATTTAGCAGCAGCCACCAGGGACCAGCACTAACTCTCCGCTGGGCTACCAATCTGTCTACCCGCCAAAGTCGCAGCCGGATACGCTCCCAGGGCCGGGTCACAAAGTTCTGATATTGCGCCACCCGCCCCTTTGCCGCGTACGCACCACGCTTGGCGCGCCGGGTGCGCGGCGATCAGACGGCGCCATCCAGCTACTAGGCCCAGAAGCGGCGCCCGGACAGGTTACGTGAACGTCCCGCCGCGCCTCGGCCAATGAGCTTGCTCCTCGGCTGCTAGGCCCGCCCCCATGCGGCGCGCAGGTCAGGACGCGGGAGCAGCGCGCTCTGAGTAGCTGCTCGGGCCAATCACTCCGGAGCGCGCGCGACCCCGGGAGTGAATTCCGGCTGCAGAGGAGCCGGAGCGCGGGAGTTGGCGCAGCGGAGCCATGAGTGTCCTGAGCGAGGGGGCCATTACGGTGAGTCGTCTTCTGCGACCTGGGCCGGCGGGACGGGGTGGCAGTGGACACTGGGGCTCTGCGGAGTGGAGAAGGGAGAGGGGCTCGGAATGATGGGGGGCAGGGACGCGAGAGCAGTTGTTTGGGGGGCCTGGGGGGGTTGGGGGGGGATCCGCCGGTGACTGAATAATCTCACTGTCTTCCAAGGATTTCCCCCCCCCCATTGGCTTTTAAACATGCTGACACTTTTCTTGCTTCGGAAGACGAAACAGGATAAACTTTTTGATCTTCACCTGCCTCCCCTGCTAGTCCCCAGCGGCCACTTTGTCTCCTCCCCTTCCCGTCCACTGCCAAACTTTGCTGCAGTTTTCTGTTGTGCGCGCTTTCTTTTGCTCACCTGTCGTTAACCCTTTTATCCCCTTGAGTGAGTCATTCCCCCTATCACTATAGAAATAACCCTGGCTGAAGTTAGCAGTGCCTCCAAGTCGCTCAGTGCAGCACCCACTTTCAATTTTTCAGCTTACCAGAGTTCTTAGCGGAATTTGAGTCTGTTGAGTCATGTCCTACTCATTACACTCTCTTAACCGTCGTGGTTAAGCTTTCTTAGTATGTCCCCGCCCCACCCCACCCCCCGCCCCGCCTTATTTTGCAGGTCCTTTGTAATTTTTGTTGACTTAAGGCAGTCCTCTAGGGCCCGGCCTCCCCGTCTATTTATCTACATGTCTTGCTCGCATATTTCTTTGTCCAGGGCTCAGGGCTACTGTTATTCTGAATGACAAACCTCTATAATCTCGCTGCTTGCCTTAAATCTTGAGACATTTAAAAATCAACTCATCCCCAAAGCAGACCCATTTCCCAAAGCTAACCCATTTATCTTCTTTAATCTAGGCCTCTTAATGTACCCTCTCTGGATGAGTGATACCATTCATTATCCATTAAATTGTGCTAGCCAGAAATGCCGAAATCGTTATTCCTACAAACTCCATCACCCTGCATGCCCACTCCATCACTAAGTCTAGTGCATTTTTACCTTCAAGTATGTCTCTTAAATCCATCTACTTGTCTATTCACACTGGTACCAGCATTTCTTGTCTGGACTACTTCCACTCAGCATACCATCTTCCCGTCTGTCCCATCATGGCATAACCCCACTTGTTCTTTCCTCCGTTCCAGCTTTTTTAAAAAAAAAATTCCAGGTGTTTTCCATATTATTCTCTTTTACAGGGCCTTTGAACTTTCATTTTCTTCTTCTGCCTAGCTCCCCTTCACTGGTTAACAAAATACTCAAATCTCAGAGATGCCCTTCTTGACTTCTCTTAGTAGGCTAAATACCTTTATTTTGAGGCCCTAATTTCTGTTTGTTCACTTGTTACCTGTGTATCTTTGGGCAAAATAGTGAATGCTGCTGTTAATGAGGGTAATAATACCTATTACCTATACCTATTGCATGAAGTCAATGCAAGGATTAAGTGAGTTATTACATTTAAAGTGCTTAGCCCATACCTGATACGTAGTAAATGTTCACTATATATTACCTATTATTGATAATCACAGATTTAATTTTACAATTATTTGTTGATTTGATTAACACCAGCTACTTTCTGTCTTCTTCATTGGATTGTAAATTCTTTGAGACCTGAAGTTTTTTTTTCTCTGCTCAACATAGCATACCTGGAGCAGTGCTGGCAAGTTTTAGGTGTCAATAAGTACTTGCTAGTTGCATCTGAGGAAATGAAAAGAAAGGGACAGGCATGGATGGGAAAGAAAGGAAGCTTGGAAGAAACAGGAAGGGGAAGAACAGTTGGGAGAATTGAATGAATATCTGAATAAGAATAATTATACCTGGGAAGTGATTGCAAATTGTAACCCTCTTAATAATTGCTACCTGGTGCCTTGAAGACAAATGGGTAGAGGGGGTAGTAGAAAAAAAACTAGCAAGTGTTCTTCACTTTGAAGATGATGACATGGGGCTATTTAAATATTTGATTAGTTTTCTCTATTCAAACTTCTGAAAACATACTAGTATTAGGTAAAGTATTACTTAGGTTTTACTCATAGATAAATGACAAGAAAAATTTTGTGTTTCTGATGATGGAATGGGAAAACCTTTGTCAACTCCGATTATTAGCTGAAGCAATGTATCATTTTAGAAATAGAGGCATTTTGTTTTTTGTTTTAAGATTTGTTTATTTATGCATACAAGAGCTGGGGTACAGGCCAGAGATGCGGGGGGGTGGGGGGTGAGCAGATTTACCAGAGACAGAGTGGGGAACAGAACAGGCAGATCTACTGAAATACACTGCTGAGGGGAGCAGCGAGCAAGTCAGGAGAGGTCTGCTGCGCCATGTGGGTTGCTCCCTGGTCGGCCAGCCGGGGATCGAACTTAGTGCTACAGAGGCTGTGGATTGCTTCATAGTGCGGTGCTTAACTCCTTGCGCCACCAGGGAGGCCCCTGTTTTTTGTTTTTAAACTTTTTTTTTTCCTTAAAGATTTTTTTGTTTGTTTATGTATACAAGAGCTGGGGTGTAGGCCAGAGGTGCAGGGGGTGAGAACATTCACCAGAGACAAAGTGGGAAGCAGAACGGGCGGATCTACTGAAATACACTACTGAGGGGAGCAGTAGGTGAGATGGGAGGTCTGCTGTACCATGTTGGTCAACTCCCTGCCTGGGGATGGAACTCAGGCCGCAATGGCTGGTGATAGCTTGATAGTGCTGAGACTTGAACCTCTGCATCACCAGGGAGGCCCCTGTATTTAGTATTTTTGATTACACATTTTAAGTTGAGAGGAATAAAGTAACACGTGTCTGTTTTAAAATAAATAGAACAGAATGCTTTTAATGAAATTACTTCTGCTCACCTTTTCCCAGCCTGTATCACAAGCAGCTACTTAAAAAAAAAAAACTTTATTGAAGTTTAATTACAAATGATAAAATACACCTATTGTAAGTGCACAGTTTGAGTTTTGACAGACACTTATACTACTATAACCACACCACCCTCATCTTTTTCCCATCCCTTGCCCCACCCAAGGTTTCTGCTTTTTTTCGTTCTGATATCTATCACTGTAGGTTAGTCTTCACTGTTGTAAAACTTAATATAAATGGAATCAAATAATAATACATATTCTTTTGTTTGACTTTTCAGCAAAATGGTTTTTGAGATTTATTCGTGGTGTTTTAGTAGTTTGTGTCTTCGTATTGCCAAGTACTATGCCATTGTATGAATAAACATTTGTTTATGTATTTGTTGTTGGATATTTGGGCTATTTTCTCCTTTTTTAGCTATTATGAAGATGCTATGAACATTTATGTACACATGCTTTTGTGGGAATAGGTTTTCGTTCCTCTGAGATAAATACCTAGGAGTGCAATTGCTCAATCATATGGTAAAATGAATTTTTAATTTTATAAGGATTTGCCAAACTGCTATCACAGTGGCTATGAGAATTCTAGTTGCTACATATCATCACCAAACCTAGGTTTATCAGTCTTTAATTCCAGTGTAATACTATCTCACTGTCATTTGATTTGTCTTTCCCTCATGACTAGTGATGTTGGCCATGTTTTCATGTTTTGCCATTTGTGTGTCTTCCTTTGTGAATGGCCTGTTCAAGTCTTTTGCCTATTTAAAAAGTTGGGTTGTGTTCTTATAAGTTGTAAAAAGTCTTCTCAAGATAGATACATATTTAAATAGGACCTCCCTGGTGGCTCAAGGGGTTAAGTCACAGCAGTATGAAGAAGTCTGCAGCCACTGTGGCATGAATTCGATCCCGGGCCAGGGAGGTGACCCACATGGCGCAGCAGACCTCTTCTGTCTCACCTGCTGCTCCCCTCAGCAGTGTATTTCAGTCAATCCACCTGTTCTGCTCCCTGTTCTGTCTCTAGTGAATCCTCTCACCAACCCCCCCTGCACCTCTGGTCTACACTCCAGCTCTTCTTTTTATTTTTATTTTTTTAAGACTTATTTATGCATACAAGAGCTGGGGTACAGGCCAGATATGGGGGGTGAGAGGATCCACCAGAGACAGAATGGGGAACAGAACTGGCAGACTGACCAAAATACACTGCTGAGGGGAGCAGCGGGCGAGGCAAAAGAGGTTGCCTTGCCATGTGGGTTTCTCCCTGGCTGGCCAGAGATTGAACTCATGCTGCAGAGGCTGCGGATTGCTTAATAGTGCAGTGCTTAACCCCTTGCTCCATCAGGGAGGCCCCACCCCAGGTCTTGTATGCAAAATTAAATAAATCTTTTTTAAAAAAAGAATATTGAGTTGCATTGGGAGATTGTTAATTTACCTTCAAATCAGCTGCTCCTTTTAAGAGTGGAGTAGCTTTTACTTTGGGACTAGATTACTCCTTTTTCTAAAGCATGGTCTTTCTGGGTTTTTACTATGCACTAGGTATTTACTGAATTCGCTCTACTCTGGCTGGTTAGAATTCAAATATATTCAAATGTGAGTGCCAGTAATTTTTCAGCTTATAGCTCTCAACTACAGACGTGTCTTGGAGATATTATGGGTTTGGTTCCAGACCACTGCAATAAAGCAAATGTTCTAATAAAGCAAATCCCATGAATTTTTTGGTTTCCTAGTGCATGTGAAAGTTATGTTTACACTATACTGCAGTCTATTAAGTGTGCAATAGCATTATTTCTTTAAAAAAAAATGTACACACCTTAATTAAATGTGACACAGACATGAAGTGA